TAAATAAAATTGGATTTTGAAAGAGGACAGGGGTTTTGAACCCTTAATATCACAGACATGGCATCAAAACAAATAAACAAACAAAAACAGCAGATAAAATATCCAAATGGTGATCATACAGTATTCAAGTCACCTAGTCACTAGGAAAGGTCAAACATAAGGAAATAAATTACCACAAGCAAATAAATTACGTAGTGCTGCATGATCTTCAAGGAAATACAACATCTCTGATTGAATGAATGTTCGGGGGAACATTTTACGGCCTCCACAGGACATAAAAACACGGATGTGTCAATAAAATAGAGAAAAACGAAATAGGAATATAATATATAACATAATGTGCAAACTGAATTTATTTGATAACTCGTAAAAAGCTTCTTTCATTTGTTATAAATGGTAACGACCAAAGAACCGACGAACAATTTTGCTATTCCATGTTCTAAATATACAGTTGTTTGCATAATCTGGAACTTAAAATATGGTAAACAAGATCAACTAAGGAAATTTAAGCTAAACATTTATTCTATAAACATAAACAAAATCAATCTATTTAATTATTCATATTACATTGATGATTTGAGATATGTGCATTCATTTTCCATATGATATTAGTAAAAATTGTTCACGCAGATTTGCTATGAATTCACTGGCATAGCCATCATGGATTCCAGCACTTTTAAGTGTAAAAACTTGAGTACCTTTCAAGCCGGTGCAATTGGGCGTTAGGTGTGTTGCAAGTTTTCATTATCCCTCATGTACAGACTCAATAAAACCGAGTCTGGAGTTTTCATGTAATTTTGTTGTGATTCATGCGTCCGATGGATCACTCTCAAGATTTTTATTTTGTAATATCATGCTTTTGACATGGTTATATTACTACAAAATAATACTTAAATCATTTGAAGAGATGTGATATAATGTCATTATCTCATTATCCATGTATTATCTCTGACTTACTGATTATGTTTTTAGTTTTCATCTATGGTAACGGTTATATAAGTAACCAGTCGAGACTACCTTAACATTAGTCATAAACTCTTATCCATGACATGACACAACAAGTTATTTTCTGTATTGAATATTATTTTGATCTCATAGCTACTGAAATGTGATTTGGTCAATAATAACGAATGTGCGTTCAAAATGTTTTGTCGAAAAGCTTTTAAAATAAATTATAAATTTTCTACTATGGATCTTTATCGGACGCTTTCTTGCATTTTAAAAGAGCCTCAGTCTGCATTGTTAATCAAATTGGTGTTCTTATTTACAACAACTGTCTCAGTTTCAACAATCACTGCAAATTGTTCCTTTCCCAGAAATATGCGATTGAAGGTTGTGATATAGTATAAATGTACAACAATAAAAACGTGTCTTGTAATTTAAAGTCATACTTTATAAAGTTGATGCTAGGCATAAGCTGTTGCTTTGATTGTTTGTTTGTTTGTTTGTTTGTTTGTTTGTTTGTTTGTTTGTTTGAGTTCTGCTATTTTTATATGGAATGGCACATTTACAAAGATGTATGATTTACATAAATTATATCATGCCTATCAAATATTTACTATAATATTTGTTTGTATTAAAGTTTGATGTTATATCTGTTGGAAAGAATTTTCGAGTTTTTCGAGTGACATTTCCCTGCGTGTTTACATGATATTGTTATAATAGTTAAGATGTGCTGTTTTGTTTATGGAAAAAAGGAGAATTGCAGCGAGTGTATAAGATTTAAATCACGACAACATATTTTGGCAATTTTGCAATAATTACACATTTGTACAATTAGAGTTAATTCTTTGAAGAGGTACAGAGATATAAAAGCTATTTACTTAACAGGTGCTCCTTCTATCTCCGTGAGTGCTAAAGTAAAGCTATAGGATAAAATCATACTTAGTCTAGTAAATCAAAGTTTTTTTCTCTATTTTTACCGCATTCGCTTGTCTAGAATTGTTATTGATACACTTAGTAGAAGTAAAATTACCCTTCATGAAACCAAATTGGACTTGAATTAAATCAACTTTCTACACTAATCTGTAGGTGGTCTAAGAAAGAAATAAGGAAATTCTAAAATCTCATCAAATACTTTAAAAGAACAGATGTTTTTGTATCAGTTTTATTGATAACTTAGTGACTTGATATGCAGAATGAAAGATGTCGGTGTAAAATGGCATTCGTTTATTAAAATTAAGACGGTAACTATGATATAACATTTGATATTTGGTGCAGATACCTTGGGCTCTATAAAAACATATTGAGGATATTGAATGACTGTAGATTTAATACTTAATTTATTTAACGAGCTGAATAAAAATCATGTTATGCGAGCCTGTAAAGAGTAGATTCTAGCGTACGTTTGAACTTTGTTTTATATATAACGCAAATGACGTCACGTCAGAGTATTATTACACTATAGTGTTACATGGTTTTTGTATTCATTGTACGAGTAAAAGTCCAACAATCATTCAGGGAAATGCGTCGGTTGAACAGCATTTATAATTATCAAATGGCCTTTATTTATATGATAACAAACAGAGTTGCTGATTATTGTATCGCTATGTATATTACGTGTATATCATGTTGTTGAACCGTGTTTTCTAACTACAAAATAATTAATTTGAAAAAGGAAATTATATTTCACGAACTTAAAACTGTTCAAATTACAAATATACAGAAGTCATCTGTTTTCCAACATGTTTGTCAAATCTATATATATTAAGAATGTGTAGATTCGGTCACTTTGAATGATATTGACGCGTAATTAAGCATGCAAACCGTACTTCAATCTGTTAACCTCGTTCTTACACAATACGTTCGCAAAACCAATGCTCTTGGAGCGTCATAGATAATATGTTTCAAAGCTTTTTAGAACAAGAAAAGTACTCTGCGTGCTCTTCATCCAAATGGTGATAGTTTCTGTAGATATCTACTAAATCATTTGATAAACATGAAATGCTTCGTAAAAGAGAAACTATGTGTTTGTAGATATGAATTTTATGTTGTTATTGGAACAATGCCAATAACAACTAGGCAGGAAGCACGTTTATTTTATTACTTACATAGTTACAGTAGTTTAATGAATATACATATTAAGTCGATGGTTTTACTTAAGTCATTTAACCAAAGGCTACTTAATTATATAACAAACATAATGAGCATTTTATTGAAAAAATGACCACATTTTTGTTCCAAAATTACACAAGATTTCTGTTAATTTTCATCGGTATTAATGGCCAATAGGCATCAATTGGAGACGTTTAATTCTTCTTAAACAAATCAATGGAAAGAACATGTTAATATACTTAATACATTTAGATTTAAGAGATATTTGAATACATATGTGTGTTCTGTCAGACCTTAAAACTGAAATTGGACGACTTATCGGACTTTTTTTAAGAATGTTTGATAAATTCCTTTTTTGCCGAGTGGTGGTATTTTGCGATTAATTAACATTGATAAAGAAACGTATGTACTTTTACAAATTCACGTTTGTATCACTTCTTTTACATAAATTGTTTATGTATGTATGGCTCGAAACACAAGCAAAACAAATTTATTTAGTTTAAAACATAAACATTTGAATCTAGATCTGATAAACTATTTTTTTATAAGAATATCTTTCGTATTTTCCTCTCATCATAAATATTGGTCAATACTTTCTCATTGATATATTGCCTTCTGTTTTCTTATTTAGAATTTGGCAGATTGCATTAAGAATATATGATTTATTGCGATGGATAAAACAAGGTCAGACCGGAAACATAAAGATTTCCGTTCATATTCGATGCTCGGGGTATAAAACATACTTAGACTTGATTTAACAGGCTTTTAACGCGTTGGCCATCATTTGCGTCTAGTTGTTTCACGAACATTTGTATAATGTTTTTGAAAAGAAACGTTCTGGTATTCAGTTGAAGGCAGATATTTAGATTTTTAATGTTTAGTCTGCATTACTTATTATTCTAATTCTGTTTTAACTTGTAAACGTTGAACATGAATTATTATCTCCATTGAATATACTTCTAAGAATATTATGACGTCACTGATTTGTGTTAGGCCAGAAGTAGTTAAAGCTGCATGCCTCCAGATGAGCCATAATATTTCATGAAAATCAAATATGAGAAAATTGTACTAAGATTTTAAGAAAAGTGAAAAGATTCAAGATTTTCGTGGAATAATTTACAATGTAATATGTGGTTAATGAGTAATGTTGCAGCATTTATCACCCTAATTCTACTGCATGATTTATGCACACAATTCTCATGATAATTAGCATGAATAAGGAGCTAAAACATTTTCAGTTCCGTACGTATTTAAGTTTGTAATCATTATGGTAAAATATGTTATCTTTAGATAAATCAGTTCAATGTAAAAAAAAAAGGAATTATGGAAGTAAAACGAACTTTGTAACCGTTAATAAGCTAAAACGGTGTATCTCTAATTTTCCGGGCCACTCTCTATTATATTTAAATTAGAAGGGCGGTCGCATCACTTCGTGCGTGCGAAAACAAGTTCACTTGTAATGTATTTAATATTCATCACTTTTTCATTGTTCTAACATTTAACTTCTACATATTCTGAGATTATTTTATCATAATTATATAAAACCTTAAAACTGTGTGTATTGAACTATGTAAAATTTCATGAACGTTAATATATAATGTTTGAAATATAAAAAATATTTCAAGGAAATACTTGTATGTAAATTGATATTAAATTGAAAGTATCATTTTTTTCTGTCTAGCTTTGTCTTCATTTCTTGTGATTTTAATATTAAGAGGCTATTGTGTTTTAACATTGTATAAATATTTCCTGTAAGTCATAGTTCTCTTAACATTTGCCACCATCATTAAATGTTAAAGTGTTTCCTCTGTAAGTAGCATGTTAAAAGTGATAAAGTTTGTCGAAGTTATTATGGCAAATAAATCTACGTAAAACTATTGGTTAAACCATGTGGTTAAACTGTAGATTTATCAACTCGTTCTGTAAATAATCCACTATTTTACAGCTCAGCACGCTAGGAAATGTGCTACAAAATGTAATTTCGTCAATCACCGTAGGACACAAGTGATTTTCTGCACCACAACCTTCTAATATTCTCTCGAACAATAACTTTAGTTCTGATTCAATAGCTAAGGAAGGAACGCGCAAATCTACACATATATAGAGCCTAAATATTTCCAATAATAATCATACGTTGTAGTGAGTTGGTTCCGTCGATTTGGGAAGAGTTTATTATTAGCACTATATTGCCTCCGAAGAGTTTTCATACTGTTATATGTGATTATACGTATAGAGGAAACATCAAAGCCTTGATTATTTCCTATGAGTGTGGAAAACAGTGTTTAACATAGATATCAGAACGCCGGTGCTTGTAGTTATATACACAAATAAATGATGCGTAAGTGGGAAATGTATAGGAGGTATTTAAAGCTCGTATAATGTGTAATAAAGTGGAAATTCCCTCTGTATGTGTAATTTGTTAGACAACTATGCGTTATATAAGTGGAATATATGTGTGTTAATTTGTTCCAGTAAAAATAACAGAGGAATATTGTTTCTATATAATTAAGGATTCCTGGATATGCTATCGAGGTGTGTTTTTGTTTTCTAATCTGTTGTATTGTAAATAGTTAAACATTTTGTTATATACTTTTCAAATCTTCAAATACGAATAATGTACAAACTTTAAGTATCAATCACTCGACTATAAACTAGACAGTAAATATGTGAGCATGTGAAAATTAGAATTAAAACAAATTTAAGTTCGTTACATATTAATTGTAAGGTCAGGTGAGCATTGTGCTCTCAATAGATATGTGCAGTTAATTAAGTAACATGTGAAGTCGGCATTATAAGATTTACAATAAAATTTAAACTGTAGTCTCAAATCGAAAATAATAATGCGCTGTATTGAATGTTTAGCCAAAAGCACAATTATGAAAAAACCGGGTAAAATGATTTCCCTTTAGTGTATCTATTAAATACATTGGTGTTTTTGTTAAAAACAAACTTCAATGCCAAATTGTATACTCGTTTCCATAGACAAATTGCGTCGTCCCATTTATTCACAATGAACCGTAAAACAACATGATAGAATGGCAATTAATATTATATTTACCGACATTTTACAACATTTTTTGTGTTGTCAAATGGCTATACTATTACACAGTATAAACAACTTCTTATTCCACACCCAATGGTGGTATATATACGTTTTTCTACTTTTACAATATAGGTAGAAATGCCTGACAGGTTGGCAGTTATTACATATTGGCACAATTAACGCAGTAGGTCGGAACAAATTAAATAAAGAGCACCTCTCTATCAAGCAGGTGTTTTTTTTGTATGTAATGTTATTCTGTTAAATTATCGATTTTTTTCATTTAATATTATACAGCTGGAGAACACATTTATCTAAGTATAGTGTATTTATTATAAAGCATTTGTCAATATGTGCTATACTTTTAGACATTAAGATTTGTTATTGGTTATATTTACTGTATCAATGGATGTACGCGTATGGGTTATCTTCGGGCGCCTTACGAGGTTATATAACAAGACAAAAGTTTTTGGAACGCTTATATGATATTGCATTTCAGTTTCAATTGAAAATATTAACATATTAATTTCAATCATAAGATTAGAAAATGGTTGTATATATGTAATCATATAAACAATACATATTTCACTGATTTAGCGAATATAAGCTTCTCATTTACCCATTTCGCAATTAACGTTACAAGCATGCAGTATTATTTTTAATTTATAAACGATTAATAATTTGTTTGACAATAAAGATTTATTTTTATGAGACTTGTAAAATAAAAGAGACTGGGTCAAGTCCACTAATATCAATTATATTAATTAACATAGTTTTGCTTTAGTTGGAATCAGTAACATTACTGTTTACGGAAGATATACATGATGCTTATCGTAATTTGATAGTTGATACGTGTTTAAATATGCGGGGGGATTTTGTTGTTTTGTTGTTGTTGTTGTTGTTTTTGTTTTGTTGGGTTTCTTTTTTTTTTGAGGGGGGGGGGGTGCGTTTAAGCATGCATGTAGTTACGCATTGTTGATGTTGAAAAATCGATATTGCCTCATTTGTATTAAGCTATAAAACAGTATAAGTCAATTACAAGAATTGATATTAAAAAGACAAAATTCCGTATACTTATATAGCGATTGTCAGACAGTAGCATCATAAAAAATGTACAGTCAGTTACAATACCAAATTGTATGGAGTCACGAAAAACATGTAGCCATAAATAATTGCCTGGCAACATTATAATATTAGCACAATTAACAAGGTAGCACAAAACAAATTAAATGCATAGTATCTCTACTCTACAGGTGCTAGTCTGATCGATTCAGTTATCGATTATTTAGAACAGCAACATTGCAAGGAAATGTATACACATTTTATGTGATTTTTTAATATATAAAATACGTGTAAGTAATTAATATGTTTTCTTTTTTATAAAGGTGTTCGCTTTCATAGTTTATGTTAACCCGCAGAAACAATAATTCATAATTTAATTTCATTAACATAAAATTAGTAAATTATATGTAAAAAAAAATAATCGTATCTTTTTAAAACAAAATTAGGAACGGCGTTGTAGGCTCGGTTTGATAGAAGCCTTTAAACAACGTTTATGATATCACACGTTTGTAACGTTCTTTCCTGTTGGACAAGACATGTTGTTTTTCATGTATTTACATGTAGACAACTGATTCATTATTAATTGTAATAAAAGACAAGTGTTCAGTATAATTACAAAATTGCAATTGAGTCCAATATTTATACTTAACTGGTTGTTAACCAAATGATTCTTATCGCCACAAGACATTTATTTTCCCTTGTGCCTGGACAAACTGGCCGGAAAACAGAACATATAGGTGACTTTGTTGACAAATATGATGAATGTTTTCAGTAATTTAAGCTTACGAAAATATATTCCATTAATGATGTATTTCTGATACAGAAGAAGTACTTGATCTCATTTAAATAAATGTTATAACGAAGGTAGCACGTTAAGTCTTCCGTAGATTATATATCAATTTGGATTTGCCAATTTATTTGGCTAAGGGAACAATTAATACTTTGTAATATTTGTTCATCACATGTTTTCTTCTGCTTAACCCATACGTATTATGTACTAAGGCTATTATCGAGTAATATATATTTAATGAAATGCAAACTTAGAACCCGATCAGGATATCTTTGTTCAATTAGTGGATCCATCATTATTTTAATTGCATTTATTCAAATGGTCTGATATATATTCTCTATCTATTTCTAGTAATAAAGATAGTTCTTGCTCATCTATTACCACAAGGGAATTTCCAAATGATTGCAAAGCACTAAAATTCCTCCCCATCAAATTATTTGATAAGTCAACGGCTTTGTTGGGCATTAGGCGTATTGTAAATTTATATCTGGCGGGTAAGCCTGTTTCCGTTTTTGTCGTCTGCTAGCTTAGGTTGCTCGATTACAAATCAAATTCTGTTAACGCTTGTAAAATTAGAATCTATAAAGATGGTTATTTAAATATATGTTTTATGACCAAAGGATTTTCAAAATTTGAATTTTAGTTTTTTTGTTATTAAATAAGTTTCAAAAATCAAACATTTATATTTTTAAAAAGATGTCAAATCATATCAATCACAATAACATGGAAATGATTTGAAAATGCCATTGTGTTAATAATTTATACGAAAGTCATGAAATGCTAGTCAGGTCATCAATGTTTGGCCAAGCAATTAACCGATAAAAGATGATATTATTTAGTAGTTTTATGGATAAGTTATATTTACAACAAAAAACATAAATTTGCGATTTTCTATAGATTGTTGAACGCGGCGCTCCGTTTAACAACTATCATATAAATATTCGTCACCCGTGGTTTAATGTTGTTATATTTTTTTCTATTGGTTGTTTGCCAGTAATGTTCAGGTAAACCAAATTTCAGGTAATGCGTTTGCAATGTTGCAAGTTGTAATAATGTCAGTGTTGTCTGCAGGAAGACATTTATAACTACCGTATTAACGAGAGGGTCTTGCTCTCCTGTCTGAATACTGTTGCCTAGGTAAATATAACTAATTACAAATATGTCCACTAACCAGTTATAGTTTTAACTTTCTTAGTTACAATACACATAATCTAAGTCTGGGTTAAGATAAAATCTTTCTTCTGACCTGTTCTCGTTATAACCCTCTTGCAACTTAGCCTTTTCCAAACGAATCTGAATTTAATAAATTTCCTGAAGTTATAAATGCATGTTTGTTTTGCAAACGTGCAAACGGTTTAATCAATCATTTTTATAAACACGTTTAGGGGTTTTGTATCAAATTTGTATCAATATTTATTTTTGATATGTTAATATGTAACCACACAAAACAACTATTGCTACAAATGTGTATTTTGTATAATGTATATATTTTATATATTTTCTTTTCCTGTTCATTATCACTAAGTTTAGCATCAGAGGCTTATCTGATTCTACACAATACAAAAGTATCACCATTACAAATACAGGCAAACATATATCATAGCGACATCTGTCTTACTATCTCTAACGCATCCATCAATGACAAAGATTTGACCGCAAACCAGTCGTTTGGTCTAAAGGATTGTGATTTACGACTCTAGACTTTTTTCCCATAAAAAACAGGAGCAACTCGTGGTGGGATTTGATTAAAAAAATCATATGATTTAGTTTATGTTGAAGTTTCTTTCTTGATCGGGATGATTTAAAAAATGAAATGTATATTTTCGGGCGGTGGAGGTTGGAGAAGGGGGATAATGTGGTGTTGGGGGTTTGTCACATCGATACCGTTATTGTTCTGAAAACTAGCTTGAAAGCTTCCTCGCATAATATAATAGACAAGAAGTGCATCGTAGCCACAACTTTTGAACACGATTTTTATGTGCTGCCTAAAGATAATCAGAATTTTATGTTAGAATGTATTTGAGCTAATAGGTGCTTATCTTTTAGAAAGTGTAGCGCTGGAAATGAAGTAATTTGTCATGAAGAAAGGAAAATGAAGACAAAGTATCATTCTGACTTTCATACATAATACTAAGCAGCCTTTAAATTAACTGATATCGATAACCAAAGTGCTAAAAAGAAACTAAGGCTTAGCTGTAATGACAAGGTAATATATAACTACCGACGACTAACAGGCTGTTTTGATTTGTTTTACAGGGCTATCGGAAAGAAATTCGTTTGATTTCATTGCATCTTTATATTTTCATAGAAGAGCATTATAAAATCATAGTTTTGATGATGTCATTATTTGAATTGTCTGTAGTATTTTAAATCACTCCGAACATCAAATGAATAGGAAGCCTAAGTATACTTACCCGACCAACTGACATTTATTGCAATTTTAAGACCTAAACAACTGTTTTTGTCTTTTTCAAAATGCATCTTTTATGAAAATATTCCATTAGGAGTTAAATTATAGACATACTTTAAAATGTAATCACTCTTTGGTCTATAACTGTCAGATAATTTAGGCATCTATTTAGTTTGAATGTAAGAGTAACATTTAGAAGTCTAAATGTATTGTAGGGAAATTTCAAAAGT